ACATTTTTATACGACAAAGTTCATTTCCCTACTCACTCCACATCCACATAATCCATCCTCGGTCGGAAACACAGCAAACCGAAAACAGCATTTCCTTCAACGGGTGCGGCCATCACCTTCTCCCCACTCTCCCTCCTTTACAACACGCGCGCTCCAAGCCTCAGGGACGTGATAAGGATCAGTCCACTGCCATGCGCCTCTGGATGTCCCGTTACCTGGGTTGCCATTCCTCTGTCTGTTGGGGACAGCAGAGGCGGGGCAGGAATGCCTCTGTCTGGGGCTTGCTCAGGTCCCTGCCACGGCTGGCCTTCGAGGGGCTTTGTCTGCTATACGGAAGTCCTGCACACAGGCCACACCTTCGGGGGGCAAGCAGCCCACGGTCAGGCCTCACTTCCCATAGACCAAGCGCTTGGGGCAGAGACTGGCTCCGTCATACACTTGAGAACACAAGCGTCCAGGTAGCCGTGGACCCCAGGGGTCATCACCAACTCTAAAAGGATCCTGCCACACTACCAAAGCAAGTGACACCGCTGCAGTGTTTCATCAGGGGACAAGAGCAGCCTGAGTCTGGAGACACTGTTAGTGTCTGGGCCCCAGGGCTACCTGCAGGACCAGGTGCTGGCAACTGAATCTGAGCATCAAGTTCTTTGCTAATAAAATGGGGACCTCAGCCAAAGGTCATTAAGGATCTTAAAAGAGAGGTGGACCTCGCACCTGTGCACCATCACACCTCGATGGGGTGCTCAACAACGACACACCTCCCACCTCCCCAGGGGAGAGAGGGCCATGGGCCCACAGTCCTTCCCAAGCAGGGGCCTCCAGTGGAGCACAATTCAGCAGAGAGCCACCCTGGCCAGGAATCAGAGGAAGTTCGGGCAGGCTCACTTGCTCCAGACACATGGATGACAGAGTGAAAATTAAGATCCTCTGTTTCGTTCTACGCCTCCCTGGCTGGTAAATCGACTCTGATTAGAACCAGCAGTTGTGAGGGGTGGGAGAAGGGAAAGCACTACCAGAGCAGAAAACAGCCCTCCAGGAAGAGTGGGGGGCCGGGGGCGCGACCCCGTGTGACTAGGACGGACGGTCTCCCTGGTCCTCGCCAGGACCGAGCTTCTCAGGAGGAAAGGACCAGCGTCGAGTCGACACCTCCCAGAGTACGGCTCCCACGTGAGCTTGGAGCTGTGGCTCAGGAATAAAATCCAAACAAGAACCAAGAACCCGGCGCTCCAGTGGGGCCCTCCGCCCTGCTCCACCGAGAGCTGGCTGAAGCCCCACCAGCGTCCTCCCTGCCCGGGCCTCCTGGCTGTTCCCCATCTATCGTGTTCCCCTGCAGATGAAAGGGCCTGCGTATCTGCCTCGGCTTTGTGGTTTTCGACGCTGGCAGTCATGCCACTGGCCTAAGAACTGAAGCAGGATCACATGTCCCTTGTGTAGGCCAGATGGAAGAGCTGGACGGCCATGACCGGTGCAGGCCGCCAGCTCAGGAGGACCCTTGGAGGCCCCAGGTAGGACCAGCACGGCCACACCCAGATACCCCACAGTGCCCCAACAGTCAGAGCCGCCCACGGTGTGGCTGTTTGTTTCTGAAGTAAAGCAGTCTTCTCGCTTTTGTTCTTCGGGAAAGAAATCTGTCCTGGCAGAGACAGGGCAGCGGCCCTAATGATGAGGGAGAAAACCTCACCCAGCCCTGCGACTCGACAGAGCCACGCCTTAGATGGTCCACAGCCTGGTCCCCATGGCAGACGGCACAAAGCGCTCCCCGCCAGCACCCTGGGGACCTGAGAACGCCTTTCCCTGGGCCTTGCTTGGGAGGCGGGTCACGCTTCTCCGACATTATGGTGACCGGTCAGAAGAGCGCAGTGCAAGAGCTTCTCTGGGTGCAGGCAGCCGGCTACGCTGTCACGTCTTTGCCAAACCACAGCCACCGCTAACCCCAACATCATCTTACAGAATAAAAGCCAAGGGCTTTGGTTTCCATTTCCACTTACTTGTAGGCATTTAACAAAAAGCGCTTATTTTTCCCTGACACTTTTGTTAAAATTACAAGGTAACTGGGTGCTGCTGTAAATATTAATGCTTATTAATGAAACGGTACAAGACAAACAATGAGCCACCTGAGCCCATGGAGAACTAACCCTGGTTTCAGAAGTCAGCAAAGCAGAGTGCATGTTGGGTTTTCATTTGATAGCAAGTAATAACATGCAGAATGGAAAGTAACAGCAGAATAGACTATCAGTCCTCACTGTGGCGGTTCATCTTCATTAGCAATGACAACATGAGCCTCTTTGGGGGGAGAAAGCTGAAATGCTTGAAATTATTAAAAAAAAAAAAAAAAGCCACGATCCAAACTACCGAGTCTAGAATAATAGGTGTACAATGCTATTGAATGAGGACATACTCAAAATCACTAAGAGGACAGAAGTGAAACATACATGGTTCTAGCACCTCCCGGGGTTGTCATTCTGAGACTTTTCATGAGTTTCATGTTTTTCATCTACTTCCTAGTCCTCTGCCCATATTAACGAAAACCTATCTAGACTCGCGACCTCAGCGGGTGGTTGCCAGGTCAAAGTCAACACGGGGTCCTTCCTCAGGCTGCAAGCGGAGATGCCTCTCTTGCAATGGGTACGTATCGACTGCAGGTGAGGCTGAGCGGGCAGCGCCCAAAAAGTGGGGTACAACTTAATGGGCACACTGACAAGCCATAGAGAGACTTTACACATGCTTTCTGGGGACATGTGACTATTTGCACCGGTGGTCAGGGATGAAGGTTAACCCACTGTCGGGGTGCCCGGTGCTGGGGCAGCCAGGCTAACTGGGCCACAGTCAACGTGGGTACGGACCCCAGGGGCATCCCCATGCTCCTTACAGCCGACTCCAGTGTCGTACTGATCCTCTCTAGCTCTCCAAGAGTGCTATCAAAAACCACTACCCCAAAGGATGCCAAGAGCACAGGAGTGCTGGGAACCACCACACAAGGCCAAATTTATCAGGAGCTGTGTTGCAATTTCTTTCTGAGGCCGGATGCATTTATGCAATGTGAGCGTTCCTCTCTCCAAGATAGAGACCATTGTGAAACAGGATCCCACAGTGGTCCAATTATCAGGTCAAGTCAGATGAAAAGTGCTGTTACTCACCCACTGCTGATATTGAAAAGTCCATTTCATCCTTATGCTATGAAGGTCCATATTCTTATCTTTTCCAACCCGTGGTTTCTATAAAGTGTACCAAACGTTGCTCGCAAGGTTTGGCTATCTAGACAAGATGCCCCCGCCAACCAGCATGTGAACTTCGGGCACCTTTCTGTGAAGGACTACTCGGGCATCGGGCATGGCCAGATCTTGGACACGGAACTAGACGTCCGATAGATTTCTGTCACCACTGAAAACTTCAGCCCCAGTACCCAAAACTGGACCTAATACCCCACCAAGCCCAAACACACAATGACTATACAACAATGTTTCTGCCTGAGAACCCTGGGCCAGTTCCAGCACACAGGACCTTAAAAAAAAAAAGCCTGGGTGAGAGCCTGAAAAGAAATAAATGTTGGCCTTGAAACGCCAAATTGAACGTATCTGGTTGAGGGGGGCCATCATGACCTACTAACCCCCACAAAGAAGACTCAATAGTACTTCTAGTCCCATCTACCCCAATGCCGAGTCTTAGAACCATTCAAAGAGCACAGAGTCTCCTCTGATACGTCACCCTCACTGAATGCCATGCTCTGCTGTGGACTTGGGCAGGGCAAGCCCGCTCAGTCAGCCTCAGGAAAGGTTTCCGAGCTGCTACATCAAATTAAATCTTAAAAGGCAGAGATTTCTGACACCATCCCCGTCTGATGACTCAATTCACAAACAAAGCCTCCAAATGCCTAGAAGACGTGACTGCTAGTGACCAGGTAGCTGTATCAGTGTCCCCAGCGAACTCGACTCCATGGGAAAATGGGGGGAGACACACACTGAGACCCCTCCCGGGGCCACACCCCACTCTGCTGGTTGGGTTCAGGCTGAGGTTCACGGGGCCGCCCACGGGTGCTTCCGGCTCTGAGGGACACCCAACCTGAGGCCACTATGGTGAACTTGACCTTTCCTCAAACAAAAGGCTCGGTTCTAGTCAACACCTCAAAGAACAAGTGTAGGGGTTTGACAGAAAAGACACTGAGAAAAATTTGTTCACGTGCTCTTTTTTTTCTTGCTTTAAAATGATGTTGTTAGCTCAAGGAGAAAACATCTTTTTTTTTTTTTTTAAAGCGGAATAAAAATCAATCACTTCTAAAAAGTTGCCACTTGGAGACTTTGAGTAAGACCCAGGTTCTGTGAAAAATGGCTAAAGGCATGTTGGGACTAAACGCGGGACCCCCAAGCCTTGCTCGGGTGGAGGACTGAACTGGGCCGATGGAGCTTGACTCAACCACACTCTAAATGAGTGTAGACAGAACGGAACGCTCTCCTCAGCACACACCACACTCCCCCCATCAGCTCCACCAGAAAAAAATCATTACGTGTTCAAGACATCCCAGGAGTCAGTAACTCTGAAAATCTAAGCTCATTATAGGCGGGCCGTCATCAGCAAGCCGCTCTCTTTCTGAAGACATCCATCTCCCCTTCTGTTCGAGAGACTTGGGGGCGACACTAGACTATTTCCCTAACTCATTTTTATTCTTTGTAATTAATATGTCGAGCGTCCTAACATGGCTTCCATTCTGACTCGAGTTCCTAGCAGTATAATTTCCGCTGACTTATCTTTATAGCAGCAGCAACAATCACTTTACACTGAACTATATTGCTTCAGAGTTAATTACATGTATTTTGCTTTTGATAAATGAAAATACCAGATGCAATTAATTGAAAGACAATCAATATGATCCTGCTATTAGACATCCCAAGGAAACATCCAGAAGCTGCCGGCGATCCATAGTCATTAACTAATTGAAAACACATCCCAAATGGGATTTAAGAAAACCTGAACGTTTTACCTGGCGGTATTTTACAGTGACTCACCAATAGAAATCTGTCCACAAACTCTATAGTTCCCACGAGGGTGGGCTGTCCGTCTTTTTAAGGGACTTCAACTTCATTGGTTCAAAACCATTGACGGCGATGAAACCCTGAAAACAAAAATGAATTGGGTCAGTGAGGCTGCTAACACAGTGATTTTGTTGTTGTTGTTGTTTATATCTAGCCATCCTTTAATTGCATTTTCCCAATGCCTTCGACTCTAAGCTACCAGAGGTTATTAAATGGTTTCATTAAAAATACTATTTGTCTTACTTTAGTCACACACCAGATCAAATTAAACAGTAGAGCACCAGAACAAATGAACCCTTTCCATCTATTCTGACACGAAGCCAAGTGTGCAAAACCAGAGGTGCTATTGTGTCAGCACCGTGAAAATGTCATTTAGCTTTCTTTACATCGTCAAGTAGCCAGCAAGGGCTCACAGCAATCAATACCTCCAAGCAAAAAGTATCACCGACTGTTTGAGAAACATGGAATTATAAAGTGCACTGCATAAGCCCATGGTTTATAAGTGCTATTAGCATAAATGCTGACAACTGTTAATCCACTGGAACTCTGATTAACGGTTGTAGTTGTCCATTAATAGAAGGCATTTTAACTTACTACTGAAATGGATTACTCAGTTAAGAATTCAATCCTAATGTTCAATAAAATTGCACTTTCTTAGCAAATGCGATATGAAAAGAGGTGATGCATTAAACAGCACTCCCATTTATTTTCCTATACATGGAGTGAAAAGCAAATATATGGTGTCATCCAAGTTATTGGAGCCACTTCCTGCACACACAGCGCTGTAAGGGGACAGAGGAGGCAGGAAGTGACTCCACCTACGGCTGACAGAACAGGCCAACACACCTGGGCCGCAGGCATGTCCAGGTGTCTTTTCTGTGGCTTTCCCACAAGAACAGATGGAATTTCAACAATGGAGTTACCGTGCAGCTGCAGTGTCCGTGTTTAGAGATCGTCTTTCTCAAGGCCCGTGAGAAAGGACAGGATGGTTCATGGACATGAATGGATGCAGCCAACACTGACTATTTCCAAGCCCACCTTACAACCAATCAGGATTCAAATGGTTATTATTTTTTAAGCGTATGAAATTACTGTAACCAGCTTCTTCTCAGCTGCACTCTACAAACCATTCAAATCTTAGGAAGCTAGAGTGTCTTCTTCACACAGTTTCTCCTCTTTTAAAACAACGTAATCTCTTGGGATCCAGCCCTGTGACACATCCTGCTGGATTATGTAGCAAGTCAGAGAGGAACCAGGAACCTGCCACTCGCCGTGCTCCTGTGCTCGGCTCTATGGAACGAGGCAAGCACAAGGTTTGAGCGCTGACACCAAGAGCCTCCACTTCACAACCAGACCCGAGTCAGTGGCAGGACTGGTTCTGAGGCCCATTCAGGGGAAGGGTGTCCTCTATTGTCAGTTATCATATACCCAAGGTCAAGAACTAATTCGCTCCCCACTGTGCTGTGCCCCCACACCACCTTACACCCCCAATTTTCCAATTCAAGGAAGGGGTGGAGGCAGACACATTCCAGCCTCCTGATCAAATTTTACGTCTCTCAGGATTTGTCCTCATCTGGAGCATAGTAGGATATCAAATATATAACTAACCGCATAATGGAATTTGTATTCATGGACTATATGTTGCTTGTCCTAGCGTGCCATGGGCTTCCTTTCCCTTCTATTTCTAAAGCTTCGCAGACACTCAAATGTTTATGGATATGTACACATACATGCACATATACGAGACACGTTACATATATGTAAATAATGATTTTCCAAATATATAAGGAAATTTATATAGACCTTATATATTTTGAATATTTACTTCATATAACAGGAGGGGGTGGGGGTGGGGGGGGCAAAAAAAAAAGTACACAAGTGGCCACTTTGGTCCACGTTGCTCAAGCAGTAGTTCGCCGTGATCAGAAGTGTCTGGACGCTGATGGTCACCACTTTGAGCACCTCTTGTAATTGCAGAAGTCAAACGTGACTTGTATTCATCTTGTGTTATGGGTATATATTGAGTATTAAAATTTTAATACAGTTTTCCTTTCTTAAAACGTGTATACATATTTTTGCCACCCTCTGTACATATGACGTAAAACTTAATGTCTGTAACATTACTTCTTATATTGAAACAAAGGTAACATGTTAACATCTACCTTGTCTCAGCGGTGGGTACAGATTCTTTGAGATGCTTCGTAGTAAAGTTAATTGAAGAGGGAACAGACAACTAGCGCTGCCTGTACAGAAAATGTGCAGAAGACTTCACAGAGGAGGTGACATTTCAAGACAGAAATTTGAGAGCCTGCAGACAGACTGCCCACGCGAACACTGACGGCTTATTAAGAGCATGAAAAGGCCCGAAGACTGTCAAAATCTTTAAAGCAAGTGCCCACGGTTACCCGAAGGTCGAACGAGGTAGTTAAACAGACTGGAGGTACAGAAAGGCAATGTGATGGCAGTACGACATGGAGCAGGCCCTGCACGTTCGCCAGCGGGAATTTTCTTGGCAGGATTTCTCTAAAAACTTCCAGGAGTACAAGTATACAACAAGACACAGGAATGACATAGCTGATTAAAGTCACCACTGCTCCCCAACCAGCAGGAGCCCAAGCGGGCCATCCCGCCAAGTATTTTGGCCATGGTGAGCCATGCCGGCCAGCTCTAAGCTACGCGGCTGCTTCTGTCCAGGGGAAGGGCTTCTGCTTGGGGCCTGTACCATCCACCTGGGTGAATGTCGTCAGCATCACTTGGTAAATGCATTCCGTCCATGGACGATGACAGTGAGGGGTACGTACACCCCCCTACACAGGAGAGGAACAGCAGCACCCACAGCCTGGAGGAATCTGAGCCAGGCCCCGGTCCTGAGGCCTTCTACATACAGGAAACAATTCAGGACGCACTGCCCAGAAGGGTCCCCTCCACCGGGATTTTTAGTTTCTTAATATACTAAGCCTGGCATATGAAAATCACATTTTAGGTATGTACAGTAGTTAATAACTCTGCTTCTCTGAAACTGAACGGGATGAGCCCCCTGTAAAATCTGTTAAGAGCCTGAGATGAGCTCTTAGAAGTTCTGAAAGGGAGTCTGAAGGAAGGGCTCTGCCTTGGCTCAGTCTAGGAGAACCAGTCCTGCCTGCACTTGAACTTCAGCCATCTCCCTGAACTGCTACTGTGCCCTTCATGGCACTGAGGCCCCCAAACTGTAAAGTGAGGAGAAGGCATACAGGTAGGCCACCCTGGGCTCCCCCTGCCGTGGGCGTCATTTATGTGACAAAGTACCCGCTTCCTTGCACTTACTATGCATGAATTATTTCTAATGCTTGGTACCACTTGGGTCTGCCTGGACCCCGCCTGGATTCTTTGCTCTCACTGACTCACATTTGGGTCATCTAGGCTTTAAAGTGCCACCTACTGTACTGCGATGGGTGGTGAGCAGTGCTTCCCCACTGCCCCCTGTCCTCTAGGCTGGCTCAGGCATTAGGAGTTAGGAGCCTTAGGTGGCACACGTGGGTAGAGGAGGCCCAGGGTCCAGGGAGAGCACCAGCCTCATCTGGAACCCGCTGGCGGCTTCCTCGGGTCTTGCTCTCCTTCAACTGTGTTCCCCTCAGATCCAGGGGGCCCCGTTCACATTTACTATTTAAATAGAAAATCGGAGCGTAACCTGCAAAGTCACCCCTTAGGCAATCACAAATTTACTGCCATGAAGGACTACTGGGAAGAGACAGAGACAGCGTGGAGCTATCAGGAACCTCACAGAAGAACCCCGGGCCTCAGGGGTCAAGGTGACCATGTCTCTGGGACTCTGTCCTGTCTGAGATGGAGACGGCGGCACCCACAGGTGAATCTTCTTTCAAAGGGGAAGGGAGTTCTGCCCAGGACCTGCATGCAGCAAGCACTCAATCAATGCTACTTATCATCTGACTTGGCACATGCCTCCAGGACAAGGCTATCCTCATCAGCATCGTCTAAGAACAAAACCCATCTCTGCGACACGCTGGCCCCACCACGGAAGCGAGGCCTCGCCCTCACCTCGGTGAGAGTCCTGTGCACGGCTGTGCTCAGGAAAGGCACGAGGGACTGGGGAAGAGCCATCCAGAACCCAGCCTCCTCCTTTATAAATGTTCTCTTGGCACAGATGCCACTGGCATCCTTCAAGAGGCACCTGTTGTTATCCAATTTACAACGGGGCCATGCTGACACGATGCTCCGCACGCCAGGAAATAAATGCCCGTCCTTCCACAGCGGCAAGGCCCCCCACGAGGCATCCTGCTGCCCGTCCGACTCAGGCCAGGGCAGCCCAGGCCTCAGAAGTGACCTGCCCATGGGGCTGCTGCAGGAGGTACCCAGGGAACGTAAAACCACAGCTCCAGAGAAGTTCACCCAACCCTGCTCAGGGTCTCAGGGGACCTCCCAGGGAGCCCAGCTGTGACCTGAAGGCCCCTGCATCCATCCCCATGTAACCCTGTTTCCAACTGTTCGCTCGCCCCTCCTGCTGCGGACACTAGCCCCATGGCACTGTTTTGGGGTGTCAGTCTGTGTGAGAGGCGAGTGATGGGACCATGATAAAGATGCGACAACATGGGAAGTGGGTGCCAGGGGCTTTCCCATGTATCCATAGCAGGTTCCCACAACTATCTCAAGTTCAAGGGCAATGGGTGGGAAAAAGCCTCTCCAACAGATAAGGAACCCAAAAGTTCACAGAGAAACCAAATGCCGCCCCCTAAAACAGACCAGCCTGTGTCAGCAAGAAGCTCCTCCTGCGGGATTGATTGACACACAAAGGCAGCACAGCAAGCGTTCACTCCAGGCCACAGCGGCTGGGGTGCATTTCAGGGGACACTCGAGCAGCCCGCGGCCCTGCGCCAGGACAAGGGACAGGCCCTCCACTCCCTGTGTGCTCCCACCCCCACTGCTTGCCCACCCTCAGGTGGTCACACGCCCCCTGGCCATCCTCAGCAGGCCACTCCCTGGGAGGGGGACCTTCCAGGCCTGAACTCCACTCCCACACCTCTCATCTGCCCTCTCTTCAGGGTCACTGTGAGGATGTGTGACGTAAAAACGACCCACAACAGAA